ACTTCAAAGTAGGTTCTACTTACTCGTCAAAATTACAGTATTTGCATTAAAAAGATAGCGAATTGATTCAATTACGTCGCGAAAACTATAACGAAAATATTTTACTTTAAAATAGGTAAAAAACTAGTCTCAAAATATGGATAACTTGTAGTAAGATTCTACCGTCCTTGAAGAGTAGATAAATTGATTCTCAATGGTAGTTTAAGAGACATTTAAATGAAATGATGACCTGATGACTTGAGAATTACTTTAGCTTGGTTGGAAATAATATTTGAAGTTTTATTGAAAATTTCCACACAAAAGAGGTATTCTTAGTGTAAGATATATTCGTATTCTTTCAGCAGATTTTTCATTTTAAGGTATAAAAAGAACGTCATGTAGTACCTAATCAGGCTGTCAAGAAAGTTATTCGTTTCGAGAGCTAAGTACGCGGGTTCGTTATCATGTTGAAGCAGTAATCCGCTGGGTCCCGACTTTGGCAGCTTGTTACTCACAGCTATTTAGAACCTCTGGCATAGTATATACCATAAAACGTTTATGTTTACTTTTATTTCGTAAGGAAATTGATATAAGATACCTCGTAATAAATAAAAAACTAGCGAACAAATTCTTCCCCGCGCGTTTCGATCGATTCACTTTGGTAGTAGTTGGCATGCCGAGATGAGCCTACTTAAAATTTAGTAACTATGTCGTGGAACCATTTCACTTGGGCCAGCTGGTGAACATCGGTGAAGTTCTGCGACACCCAACGGGAAACTATCCTCCTCATGGAAAACTGTTCATTTATAAGTAGTTACGTTATCCGGTGAGGGCATCCACCGTCATTAGCCTTTCATTGTTCTTATCTATTGTTCATTGAATACCGTCATTATCTATTCGTGCGTCGGATTATCAGTGCTATGTATTATATTATACTCCTTTGTTCCTAACTGCAACGGTAATCTGAATCATCAATAAAATACATTACCTAATTTTGTTGCAATTTTTATTTACGGAATACAAAATCTTATTACTCTTATTATCTATAAAATAGGAGCGAAACATCTCATCCACTAAAATATCGTTGTACAATGTGTTCCCTGTAAATATACTCGTAAAACTATGCATTGTACATCCCTGAAACTTATATAGCAAATACATTAAGCAATATTCGCCACAAACTGATACAAAATCTTATTACTTATTATCTATAAAATAGGAGCGAAACATCTCATCCACTAAAATATCGTTGTAGAATGTGTTCCCTGTAAATATACTCTTAAAACTATGCATTGAACATCCCTGAAACTTATATAGCAAATACATTAAGCAATATTCGCCAAAAACTGAAGTCCACTCATTCCGAATCCTATCAACATTCCAGTTCCATCTTTAACAATACCTTTTTAAAAACTCTAGATGATAGAGTACAGGTGCTCGTCCGTATGAATCAAAATATTGACCGACGTCATTCGTGTCGATATATAAAGCTACCCAATGTGACCCTGGTTTATCATCTGTATCCAAATTGCATATTATATACGTTGGTACGTGGGTGTACATGGGCAGTCTATTAGCAGCATAAACATTATTTTCTAGACTGCAGTGAATCTTTTTCAGACGTTGTTGTACATCTAGTGTATCCATGATATTACTGCTATTAGTAGATTATTACAGTACAATCTACTCAATGACTAACATAGGAATGATAAATTATAGTGATTTCTAAATATTAAATTGCATTATTCAGTTTCATAATCTGAGAAAAAAAAACTGTAAATACTCCCTTTTAATCCTTAAGTTTTTTTGTAATGTCATATTTCATATTGTAAATAATATAATATATAGATATTGATATGGAAGAGCGGATTCACCTGGTACAGGCATTATTTGCTTAAAAGGAGAATCCGGCCACTAATGTCCGTAAACCAATTCTATTTGCTGAAATAAATTTTATTATTATTATTATTATTTTTTGTGTATCTGTATAGTTTTCTCATCTGGTTGGTTTCTATAAATATATAATTATAAATTAAAATGAAAAGATAAATATACATAAATATCAATAAAATAAAATAAATACGAAAAATACACAAATAAATAAAGATCCAACCAGATGGAAGCCCTCGGCAGGGGAGACCAAACGGCCGAGGGTTAGGGGGAAAGGGAAAGAAACCGACGGACGATGCGGGCGGTATCGAGGACCACTGCCTTCTGCATTTGAGCCCGGAGCGGTCCGTCACGGAGTCCCAGTCGCCTCAGATGACCCGAGAGGCTGACTGGGATTAGCCCATTCGCAGAGACGACTACAGGAATAATTTCGGTCGGCCAACCACCCCACATGTCGGTCACCTCGTGAGCCAGGTCCAGATATTTTGTTCGCTTATCTGTTTCGGCTTTCACGAGGTTCTCGTCATACGGAATGGCAATGTCGACCAAAAATATCCTTGACTGTGCCCGGTCCATCAGCACAATATCAGGCTTATTTGCAAGAATAGTCCTGTCTGTGATGATGGCCCGGACCCAGTAGAGCCTGGCGTGGTCATTTTCGAGCACGGCTTCCGGCAAGTAGTTGTAATACGGCAATTTCCGGTCCACGAGACCGTATTTCAGAGCGAGCTCGTGGTGTAGAATTCTGGCTACTAGGTTGTGCCTGTGCAAGTACTCAGAGTTAGAAAGCGCCGAACAACCGGAGATGACATGCCTAAGTGACTCCCCGGGATGGCGACAAGCTCGACAGATGTCGACGGTGCCATCCTTTAGGATGTATCTCCGATAGTTGTTGGTCTTAATAACCTGATCCTGTATTGCACAGACAAAACCCTCGGTTTCCCCCGAAGAGGTCACTGAAATGTAGCCAGTTGAGGGAGGCGACTGTATCTACGAAGGGCTCATGTAGAGCCCTGTAGTACCTCCCGTGGAGCTCCTTCTTCTTCCATACGGTCTCCCGGTCGGAAATGTTAAGCACTGCTGGGTCCTGCCATTGCTCGTTGGTCAAGGATAGATGGGTAAGCCCTTTATCATTAGAAATGACGTCATTATAGAATGGATCATCCGATCTCGCCAGGAAGTAATGACGGAGGCTGCACACTTCACGATTATGCATAGTGAGCGCGCTCAGAAAGCCACGCCCACCATGCTTTCGCGGCAAGTACAGCCTCATTACCGACGATCTCGGATGATGCAACCTATGGGACGTAATGGTAGTGCGGACTTTTCTATCCAGGGCGTTAAGTTCAGTTTGAGTCCACCTGAGTATGCCAAAGGTATACATAAGGACAGGCATGACCCAACCGTTATATGCGTGTGTCTTATTCACACCGGACAAAAGGCTATTAAGCACTTTGGTCAAGCGTGCATAAAACACGTCGCAAACTGACTGTTTCACACCAGCCTCATCGATACCGATGTTCTGTGACATACCAAGGTATCGGTATGTTTCAGCCTCGGAAAGGGTCCTTAAGTTGACGGGCATAGATAAATGTATGCCCTCAGAGTTAGCAACCCTTCCCCTCTCAACATGGAGGACCGCACACTTATCCGTCCCCAGCTCCATTCCAATGGAACTGCTAAACTCACAAGTGATTTTTAGCAATTCCATAAGATGGGAGCGACTGGAGGCGAATAACTTAAGGTCATCCATATAGAAATGGTGGGTCACTTTTGTCCCTCCTTTCCGTAGCTGAAATCCTCTCCAGGATCCCTCCAGTAAGGTACTGAGAGGGTTCAGGGAGAGGCAGAACCAGATTGGACTCAGACAATCGCCCTGGAAGATACCCCTTCTTATCCTTATGTGGTTCTCCGCAGCCATCATCCGCTTACCCAGATGACAAAGGATCGTACTCCACTTCCCTATACACTGCTCGAGGAAGTCTCTCAGTGTACAGTCTATCATGTACAGCTCGAGGACTCTCTTTAGCCATGTATGGGGCACCTAGTCGAATGCCTTTCTGTAGTCTATCCAGGCGGCGGAGAAGTTCCGACGGTTGCGTTTCACCACTTTGCCAATGACCGCGTCAATGAGGAGTGGTTCCTTAGTTCCACGACCACCGCCCCGACATCCATTTTGAGCGCGTCACATCACCTGATTTAGCTCCAGGTGACGAGTGATTCTCGCGCTCAAAATGGATGTCAGTGTCTTATATATGGTGGATAGACGCGTAATGGGGCGGTATTTGCTCGGGTCTGTGGTAACCTGGTCTTTAGGAACCAAATGAGTGATCCCAGTAGTGAAGAGGCTAGGGAGCGACTTCTGGGTGAGAGCCTCTTGAAACTGATGGGCGAGCACAGCGTGACACACCATGAACCCCTTCAGCCAGTAGTGATGCAGTCCGTCGAGTCCCGGACTTTTCCAGTTCGGAGCTCTACTGACCGCCTCAGCTACGTCATTTGGCATTATGATGACGGGGTTCATGGGCGTAATACTCGCACACTGACTCGCCACAACTTCCGTCCAAGGGCGCTCGCTGTGGTTTACGGGCTCTGACCACAGGCCATGCCAAAATGCGACAGTGTTAGCCTGATTCGGTCCTGGGCCCGCTCCACATACCTCTGGTCGCTCCAATGATTTGTAGAGCCTCTTCTGATCACTCTGGAAGAGACGATTCTGGTTGAACCGCCTTGACCTCTCGGTAAATCGGCGAATCGGCTTCCTCCAAGCAGCAATCTTTTGCTTCAGGTCGTCTATGCGCTCCGTTAGTTTCTGCGTGATATCCGGCTGGGACAAACTGATATTTGTCCCAGCAAACGCCATTCTAACGGTGCGCACAACCCCGGTCTATTATTACCCGACCTGAAGCTTATCAGTCTGCCAATAAGGGCCCTTGCCTTTGCGATACGGTCCTCAATTCTTTTTCTCCAGGCTGGGATGGCGCTACTTTGTTTAGTAGCGCGTCCATCCATGGGAAGTTTGGCGCCAATAATACGGCAAGCTGCCACTGCGGCGCCAAAAAGAACTGAGTCCTTTTCGCAAAGGTCCCGGCTGGCTTCCAAATAGGTTACCAGCATTGGGTTAAGAGCCCTCACGACATCCCGATTCGCGGTCGATTTTCGAGAGGCATGCTGCGCGTTTCCAAAATCGCCTCTTCCAATATACTCCTCATTTGCTCTAGTTCGTGGAAGACCATTTCATCATCGTCTGAATCACCCGCAACTGGAAGATCCATGGCGGCTTCTACGCGTGGCAGCTGGTCTGTCGCCTGAGGAGCCTCATCCCCAGCCGTAGCCAATTCATTCGATGAGGGAATGGCCTCACGTCGTAGTCGTTTGAGCTCGACATCATCGAATATTTTCGAGCGCATGATGTACCGAACTCGGTCTGCCTGGTTTTGTTCCGTGACGGAAATAGACGGCTCCAGCTCAGCAAAAAAGCAATGCATCCGAGCCCGAACCGCTATCCCCGAAGTTTCTTCCCCTTTCGCCCTATAGTACGCCCGCAATGCGTTTGCGTTCATATCCCTTGTCCAACGCATGCGGCGAACTCCACCAGTGGCGGATGCCGCTTGCCGAGTCCGAGAGGACCCTGCCGACATCAAGCCGTCTGATGGGGATGATGGATGCGGGGGGGCTGTTAGGTGATCTTGCAGCTCCTCGCGCTCGGCTGGCGGCCCGCATGCTGCCGCGTCCAGCGCCAGCTCCAGACGCGCCCCTGCAACCCCCAGGCAGCGGCCCTATACGTTTTCCAATCTTATCCATCATCCAGTTTTGGGCGCCAATTAGCGGGAGACGCCCAGGGCCGGCACCGTTTCATTGTATCATTGTACGGCCGTAAGCACAAACGGGCCTTTGCACCCTGAGTACTGCCGAGGCACGGCTCTCACACCTCTTGGCAAGGCGCTGACTGACTGCACCGACGTAGCAGTTTTGTCACTTAACTGTTTCGTCAGCGGGCGATGGGGTCGTCACTTCCCTACGCCTTATTATTATTATTATTATTTTGTGTTATACAAAACATATTTGAGTCATCAATACACTGAACAAGACGCAACAGGAAGTAATGCTGAGATAAGCAGCAGAATGTGAGATAAGCTTGTTGACGCATAAAGTTACTATCAATTCCACTGCAGAAATTCTTTAGATTAGAATTATTACTTACTGGTACTATATAATACCAAGCAACTGCAGTCATGGAGTTAGTGTATGGTCGTTTGACCGCAGTGGATCTATCAATACTACATTTGTGTTAAATCAACGCATCAAAGGCCATGGATGTAAGTGTTTATTCTATTGACAAACTTACTTTTCTTTCTGGTTTTTTCTTACGTGTGTATGATTTAGTGTTAACAAATTATATTTAAATATTGTGTGTGTGTATATGATTAAGCCGTGGTAGCTCAGATGGTTAGCGCAAGCTGTAAATTTCACAGTACGCGACGTGGGTTCGATTCCCGCCGGCACCAATTAAATTGTTAATTGCAATTTTAAGTGTTTATTCTATTGACAAACTTACTTTTCTTTCTGTTATTTTCTTACGTGTGTATGATTTAGTGTTAACAAATTATATTTAAATATTGTGTGTGTACCGCATCTATGAATACTATAATAGTTAAAAAATACTTTTTTTAACAATGACAGTCATTAGTTGATCATTAGTGAATGTGATTCTGTTTACTTAAATTACAGGAAGACAAGAGCAGAAGGAAGAAATGGAATGATGGGAAGTAATGAAGCATTGTTATGTGAAGTTTGTTGGAACAAACATATTTTAGTCACGTGTAAATACTTCAACATTTTTGTTCAAAATGACACAAAATCTAAAAAATATTAGATACATCACCGACATGGACGGATTTTATATTACATGACCTCATAAAAATTTTCAATGTAGAGAAATGGCTATTCTAGATGTAAAACTATCTAATAAAAATGATGCGTTTATCGATCATTATTTGTTTCGGCCAAGTTATCCTTTCAATTATTTGTCGCCAAAAGACAAAAAAACTGTTCGTTATTGTGAAACACACGTGCACGGCATTCCATATTTTGATGTAACCGAAGAATTAAAATGTGCCTACAAACAAGAGAACATCATACCCATATTAAATTGGTATATTAGAAATTTGTGCAAAGACGAAGTGATCGCATACAAAGGTGGTTCAACAGAAAAACAATTTTTAAAAATGTTGACGAATGATAGAATTTTTAATATTGAAGAATACAAGTGTACAAAATACAATGATTTGGTAAATGTCATAAATTTAAACAAACGTTATGTGTATGTATAATAATCATATATTTGCAAAAAATAATCACAAAATTTTACATTGTTCTTGTGACGAAGTGTGGGTTTTTTACAAGTGGTTATTGCTTGAAAATAAAATTTCAAATTAATCATAAATATTGTTTGATTTCCCAAAAACATTATTTATAGTACACAATATATATTAATTGTTTACACCAACACTTTCATTTTTTATTTAACCCCTTAGAACTTTAGACGTGTGTAATGTTTCACTTTATACATCCGTTTACTGCTATTGTGGCAGGACCAAGTGGGAATGTGGGAAGTCAAATTTTGTAACAAATTTCATAAATTAAGTTACAGAAATATGTAATTGTGATTTTAATCAGATCACATGGTGCTTTGATGAAATGCAACCTTTATATAATTTACCAAATGTTAACTATCATCAAGGACACTAATATGTTTGATGGTGAAAACCCACATCTCGTTATTATTGATGATCTAATGAGAGAGTCCGATGGAAGAATTGTGGATATATTTACAAAAGGTAGTCATCACAGGAATCTCAGTGTATTTTATTTAACACAAAATTAATTTCATCAGGGTAAAGGGCAAAGAGACATATCTTTAAACTCAAGTTATATAATATATTTTAAAAACCCTCGAGATAAAACTCAAAGAAGATATTTAGCACGACAAGTGTCATCAGCTAACCTAAAATTCATTGAAGATGCCTACAGGGATGCAACTCTAGAGGCACATGGATATTTAATGGTAGATTTAAAACAGAATACCAATGATTTTTGTCGTATCAAGACAAATGTCTTCCCATTTAATAGTTTCTGTACAGTCTACGTCCCCACAAAAGGGTTTAAATACATCAACAATCAAACAATTCAAATCATTGCTAAATGATGCATCGTCGACTCACAACGCATAAACATTTGCTAAACGCTTTGCATACGCTTAAATCAAAATATCAAAGAGCATTACTTAAAACGTGTAATGAAGAATAAATTAACTGTATTTGTGGGTGTATTCATAACGTTTCACAAGGAAAAGTACCTCTTAAAGATCACGATAAACAAAAATTGAATAAACACAAAAATATACTCCGTCAACTAGTGCGTAAGTGTAAACATAAACTAAGAAAAAATATAATTATACTAAAAGGAGGGGCTTTCTTACCAATAATATTAGGTGCAATATTGAGTGGATTAGTGAATGGACTAGCCAGTTAACATGGAATATGCAAAGAAAATGATACTTATCGAACCTGGATTTATTGAAAAATTTAAACAACAAAATAAGGTTAATAGTAATTTATCTCGATTAGATATTGAATTGCAAAATATTATGAATAGTAAGACGGAAGACCGAAAGAAATGGATGTTATATTTACAAACACTGCAAAGATACCTTCATTTTATCGAAGAGGATCGTCAACCAGTCAGATTACCAATTTATTCTGATACATCTAATGAGGATTCAAATAAGTCTAAAATTGGTTTTAAAAATAAAGATAGAGATCTAAAAATTTCAGTTGATGCTGAATCTTTGTTGGATGAGAATTGATCCATTAAAAGTAAAGAAAATTATGAAAATCCACTTTACAAACCAGCTCAAATACTCAGTTTAATACCAAAAACTTATAATAAAAAAAGGACAGTTATTCTTAAACTTAGTTGAAACAAGTAAAAGTAAAATACATTGGGATAATGAAGGTACAGTCATAATTGATAATGAAAAAATTCCTGGAAGTAATATTGTTGATTTAATTAATGATTCACTAAGACCCTTAAAAAGAAGTGATCCAGTAGGGTGGGATAGATTTGCTGAAGCCTTAAAAGATATTAAAGTACCATTTACTTATATTGGAAATCCAAAGAGATGTGAGTTTATTAAACAACTTCAAGAAAGATCTGAACAAACCTTCTGAGATTGAAGTTCGACAGTTTTTTACACCGAGTAGAGGAGATACAAAATCTATAACTAAAATAGAGTTTTCTACACCGAGTAGCAGAGATAAAAACTCTACAACTAAAATACGTAAAAGGCTTGCGTGTGAAAAATGGACCCCGTACTAGAAGAAATTAACAGGATTTATTATGATGCATCTAATCCCGCTAGTTTTGGTAGTATTGATAAATTATCAAAAGCCATGAAGGGTAAAATGAATAAAAAGCAAGAAAAGGAACGGTTAAAATCACAAGAAACATACAGATTACATAAACACGTTCGAAAAAAATTCCCGCGTAATAGGTACATTCTATCAAATATTAATGAACTGTGGCAAGCTGATTTAAGTGATATGCGATATTATTCTTAATATAATGATGGTTTCAAGTATATACGTTGTGTTATTGATGTACTTAGTAAATATGCTTTTGCAAGCCTAATGGAAAAGAAAAACTCAGAAACAACTAAAGAATGTTTGGAAAGTATATTTACTGAAAGTAATTAAACACATACTCACATACAATCTGATAAAGGTACAGAATTTGTTTCAAAAGATGTACAAAAATACTTTCAATCCATAAAGATTAATTACTACATCACTAACAATCCTGACATTAAGGCCAGTATTGTTGTCGATTTCAAAGAACACTAAAAATGAAAATGTGGCGTTATTTCACTCATAATAATACTTATAGATATATAGATGTTTTACAAGATTTAATATACTCTTAATACACTAATAATCACAGCTTTCACTCAGTATTAAGATGTGCCCATGTAAATTCCAACAATATTATGACAGTTTGGACTAATCTTTATGATAGACGGTCAAACAAACTTTCTTTAGAAATACTTAAACCAAGTTTCAATGTGGGTGATTATGTTCGAATAACTAAATATAAACATGTTTTCCAAAAAGGATATGAATCAAATTGGAGTGATGAATTATTTATTTTATCTTCAATAATTGATAGATCTCCATGGGTTGTTTATACAATAACAGATTTACAAAATGAACCAATAGATGGTAATTTTTATGAAAGAGAATTACAGAAAATGACTTACAACCCCACCTCACAATATAAAATAGATAAAATAATTGACAATCGTTATTCAGGTAACAGAAAAGAAGTATTAGTGAAGTGGAAAGGTTATCCAGATAAATTTAACAGTTGGATTTTAGCTTCTAGTTTAAAAGAAATCTGAATCTTTATTAACTTTTCTTTATTAAGTAATCTTTATTAAGTAATTCTTTATTAAGTAATAATTGTAGTAAGTATCCTTATTAAGTTTTTATTTAACTTTGCTCAGCAATAGTTCAATGGAGTACTTTCCTGATAACAAGACCACAAATTTTTCAACGAAATTACCAAAAGCTATTAAATTAGA